ATATATATATATATTATAAGACCCTTGACATTAGGCAAATGACAAAAAGACCACCAAATCTAAAACTTAATATTTAATAATATTAAGGTTTTACTTTTTATTTCCTATCATATTTAACACTTATTCAACAATACTATTCACACCACTTTGGCACCATCTTTGTGCACTATCTTAATAAACATCATTAAATTAGTAAGTCACACAAAATATTATCAAATATTCGATAGTTAGTCTGGTATCACATTAAGTAGTGTACAAAAGTGGTGTACAGAGCATTGTTCCATTTGATTTGTCCACCCTAGTTGAAAGCAAACCCTCTTCTCCAAAAACTTCATCCCTATCCATCGCCCTTACGAAGCACGAATATTTCGTTAAGGTTGACGTACATGTATTCGATATCGTATCGGATACGATATTCGAAGACACATATCAGATACACTTTATATATNTGTTAAGGTTGACGTATATATATTTGATATCATATCGGATACGATATTCGAAGATACATATCAGATACACTTTATATATATTCAATAATAATTAAATATTATGGTACTTCACAAATACTTTTGTGATCGAGCAACATGTATAATTTTTGAGTTAAACTTTTAAAATCTCTTTTCGAATTCATATATCATACAATACATTAACAAAAAATTCATATTATTCTAAAGGCATATAAGTGTTTTTTAAGTATTATCTACAATTACATGTCAAAAGAGTATAAAATAAAGTTATTACATTATTATCTTAGCAAAAATTACGTCTAAATATTAGGTAAATATTAGTTTTGATTCTTTTAATTAGTCACTTCACTTTGTAAATATACTACAACGATATGATATATATTTTCTTGAAACTAAAAAAAAATATTAATTTTTTTTATTGTATATTAAAGAACTACCAAAATACATAAGTATTAAGCTGGTTGAAAATAATAAAAAATATTAAATATATTTTATTATAGTCGTATCTTAATCGTACCCGTATCCAATTTTTTTTAGATTTTATCGTATCGTCATACTCGTATCGTATCGTACCCGTATCCCANCCAATTTTTTTTAGATTTTATCGTATCGTCATACTCGTATCGTATCGTACCCGTATCCCATAACCGTATCCATACTTTATAGCTTCGCACTCATCCTAGCCCCCCGCCCACGCGCACACATAAATGTGTAGATATGTTTTTTTCAACTCATTCTCCCTAAATCTCTACGAACTGCCACAGAACCACCCCTTACTGGTGCACATCCATCGCACCCCATNGCAGCGATATCAGATAGAACACCCACATCTCTCTCTCTCTCCTCTCTCCTCTCTCCTCTCTCTCTTTACGTTCTCTTTCTAAAGCAATCGACTCTCTTTCTCGACGATGCTACGGTCGGGGAAGAGAGAGAGTACAGGATCTGATGATCGAGAAATTCTCTGCGATCGCGGCAAAAGTTTTCTCTCAGCTAATGTGCGCCATCTATTGCGTTTCTTGCGCCTGGCTTCTTCTTTGCCTCGCTCGGTGCATCGTACGCGTCGCGTAGCCTTCTCTATTGAACTTAATAACAACTCGGAGCGAAAGAAATTGTCTAAGACAACATATATATATATATTATAAGACCCTTGACATTAGGCAAATGACAAAAAGACCACCAAATCTAAAACTTAATATTTAATAATATTTAATAATATTAAGGTTTTACTTTTTATTTCCTATCATATTTAACACTTATTCAACAATACTATTCACACCACTTTGGCACCATCTTTGTGCACTATCTTAATAAACATCATTAAATTAGTAAGTCACACAAAATATTATCAAATATTCGATGGTTAGTATGGTATCACATTAAGTAGTGTTCAAAAGTGGTGTGCAGAGCATTGTTCCATTTGATTTGTCCACCCTAGTTGAAAGCAAACCCTCTTCTCCAAAAACTTCATCCCTATCCATCGCCCTTACGAAGCACGAATATTTCGTTAAGGTTGACGTATATATATTTGATATCATATCGGATACGATATTCGAAGATACATATCAGATACACTTTATATATATTCAATAATAATTAAATATTATGGTACTTCACAAATACTTTTNCGTTAAGGTTGACGTACATGTATTCGATATCGTATCGGATACGATATTCGAAGACACATATCAGATACACTTTATATATATTCAATAATAATTAAATATTATGGTACTTCACAAAATACTTTTGTGATCGAACAACATGTATAATTTTTGAGTTAAACTTTTAACATCTCTTTTCGAATTCATATATCATACAATACATTAACAAAAAATTTATATTATTCCAAAGACATATGAGTGTTTCTTAAGTATTATCTACAATTACATGTCAAAAGAGTATAAAATAAAGTTATTACATTTTTATTTTAGCAAAAATTACATCTAAATACTAGGTAAATATTAGTTTTTATTCTTTTAATTAGTCATTTCACTTTGTAAATATACTACAACGATATGATATATATTTTTTTGAAACTAAAAAAAAATACTAATTTTTTTTATTGTATATTAAAGAACTACCAAAATACATAAGTATTAAGCTGGTTGAAAATAATAAAAAATATTAAATATATTTTATTATAGTCGTATCTTAATCGTACCCGTATACTATTTTTTTAGACTTTATCGTATCGTCGTACACGTATCGTATCGTATCCGTATCCCATAACCGTATCCATACTTTATAGCTTCGCACTCATCCTAGCCCCCCCGCCCACGCGCACACATAAATGTGTAGATATGTTTTTTTCAACTCATTCTCCCTAATTCTCTACGAACTGCCACAGAACCACCCCTTACTGGTGCACATCCATCGCACCCCATAAATCACCCAAGACATCACGAACCACCACAATTCATGGCTAATTGGGATGATGTTATCGATGAATTCATGTGCTGCATTTGGATAAAATCTTGTTTGTGCCCATCTCGAATACAATGGCAAGTTTTTGTATGACTTAGAATGCCTACTCTTAATTTTGCTCTATAAAAGGTTTGTGTTTGATGGGTGTGAGCCTATAGCGCCTCAACTTGTGTTACATACTTGCTTAAATAAGATTACTAGAGTTGATTACAAAGTGCAATGTTGGGATNCTCTATAAAAGGTTTGTGTTTGATGGGTGTGAGCCTATAGCGCCTCAACTTGTGTTACATACTTGCTTAAATAAGATTACTAGAGTTGATTACAAAGTGCAATGTTGGGATAAGCACTATTTGATGATAATAGTTATGAAGATGCGAGGAAAGGCACATCACGTGGGGGTCATGCCGTGGGAGGAAGGGGATACAAGGGTTGTAGGCAAGCATAGGTAGCTAGCTAGGGGTTCACCTAAATATTGGTACTCTTTCTCATTCAATTTTGAGTAAAAATCATTA